GTCTGTGGGGGGTGGGATTCAGTAACCATTGGTGTTATATATAGTTTTCCGTTGGACTGTTTTTCATACAGTAAACTGAAGTGATGTGTTCTATCTCAGTACCAAAGAAAGGCAGAAAATTTGATAGTTGTTTCATGTCTCAATTTTCAAAAAGGATGACAATGTAACAGGAAATAAATGTGGGAAAAGCCTTTACTTGTCATCGGGTTATAGGCTGAATTCCAGTACTTAGCTATCATTTTTATAGAAAAATGAAGAGGAAATTAAACAAACTAGGTAGTTAGTGGGCTACCTTTACAAAAAAATGAACAAAACAGCCTCACATGTCAAATATTCTTTGGATTTGTACATTTGCATATCCTAACTAAATGTAAGTTGCCAGGGACGTAGCTCAGTAGTGCTGTGCCTTCCTGGAAAGTGCAAGGCCCTGAGTTTTATTCCCAGAACTGGAAAACAAAACAAAAACAAAAACAAAAACAAAAAACATTAAGTTAGGTCAGGGATTTAGCTCAGTGACTCCATGCCTGCCTTGCAAGCACAAAGCCCTGAGTTTGATCCCCAGTACCAAACAAACAAACAAACATACAAACTAAATGTAAGTTATATGTAGTTATTGGAAATAGACTGTTTGTTATAGTAATTATTTTAAATTGTCACTTTATGTGAATTTTGAATTCAAATTTGTTACTAGTTTGGGTTGATTATTTTCTTAGTTATCTTCCTGGTCACTAGGATGCAATGTCTGACACTCTCAGTTTAAAGGAAGAGAGTTTACTGTGGCTCACAGTCTCAGTTCATATTTGACAGGCTGAAACACAGAAATGGTATGGAGGAGGAAAGATGCTCATGCCTTTGAGGTCAAGAAGCAGAAAAAGAATGAAGGAGCTAAGAAGGGAGATATATACCCTTTGAGGTCATAACCCGAGTAATACTATTCTCTGACAAGAACCTACCTCCTAAAAGCAAGTCACCTATAGTGCCCACATGGTCCAGTCTTCTTCCAAAAGTCCTACTTTTTTGAGCACAAGAGACTTTGGGGGAATATTCATGATGTAAACTGTGCTATGTAACCCAGGACCTCAAAAGACTTATATGTATGTCCCTTTATGCATAATGTAATTAGTCCATCTCTAAAAGTCACCAAAATCTAAACAGTTTTAGCATTGCTGGAAATTCCAAGTTCAACATCTCCTCTGAGACTGAAAGAAACTCTTTATTGTAAGTTGATGAAAATCAAAAAGGAAGTTAAGCATTGCCAATATACAGTGGCATAGGATAAATATTCCCATTTCACAAGGGAGGAGTAGCAGGATAGAAACTAATGGTACTAAAGCAAGGCCATTGCCTAAGTGGGCTATCATTGCATCATGCATTTCTGTGACCAGAACCCAGGGAAAATGGTGAAGATATGAGCCCCAAATGGTTTGGAATCCCCAGACCTATGACATTAATGGCTACAGTTCTCAATTCCTCTCCCTTAGGTTAGCTCTGCTCATTGCTGGTGGCTTTCCTCAGCAGATATTCCATGTTTCTGGCTTCTCTAATATCCTGGTGTCTTCAATGAACTTTTGGCTTTACTGTCATACCTTCATGCACCACCTTTTCAGGGACACACTCATTGACCTCCCAGGTCTTCTAAAATCTGGTGAAAGCCTCCTTGGCCCCACATACCTTGTGTTTTACATGTCCAAAAACACTAATACTACATGGATGATACCAGAGCCTGCCATTAGCTCAAGCAGTAGTTTGGCCCCCTTGGATCATGGCTGCAGAGGACTTCAAATGTCTGTATTGCTGAGCAATATGAGTGAAGTCCCTGAGAACAAGTTCCCTATGTGGTCCTTCTTGAGCAGGATGTGCCCTGTTGTTCTCTTCTCAAAGGAAAGTCTTTCACTTTTGTAACAGTCTGGAAAGGATGGGATCTTGTAGGTTCTAGGGATGTACTTAAGCCCTCCTTCCTGTTGTTTTGATGTTAACTACTTTGCTCTTTTTAATGCTAATATTCTCAGTGACCTAGTTTTCCTCTGCCAAAATTTTTCAGGTCTGAACCTTACAGTAGCTTACTTTCTGGTGAACCTGAAAACATTTTAAATCACTCATCTGTGATATTTGCTTTATTCTCAGTATAGTTTTGACTAAAATCTACCTGTTGTACCTGTGCCACAGTCTCAAGATTGAGCTGCTTTGAAATTTTCTCTATCATCTTATAAGTCCACTGTCTTTACAGTCTCCCGCAGTCTCAAGCATAAGCAAAATGTACACACATTTTCTTCAAGAACATAACATACATTGTCTTGAATCTAGCTGTTAGTGGAGTTTTCTTGCTAAATGAAACCTCTGAGCCTGGTCTTTACTGCCTGCATTTTCATCAGCATTCTAGTCTGAGTATCAACCAAAATCTCCCATCAAGTTCAGCTTATAGCATTCTAGAGTTTCTCTAGCTTGCACCTCCAAATTTCTCTAAATTCCTCCTTTAAACCAGTCCCAAAAGGCCTTTTAAAAATATTTTTATTGATACATTTTAGATACTACTAAGGCTTCCTTTTAAATTATAGAGTCAATAACACTCATAGCGATGACACCTCCATGTAGCAAAATCTTAGTTATTTTCCTCTTCACTGAAACACAATACCTGATACCTGAAACTTAAAGGAGGAGAAATTTATAGTTCACAAATGTTTATAGTTCAGAGTTTCAGAAGTTTTAATCTATGTTAAGCATGCTTAAACATAGATTCAGCATGGTAAAAGGGCCTGAATGTAGGAAATCTGCTCATGTCATGGCAGTCAAGACCCAGAATAAGAAGGGAGAAGCCAGGAAGGGAGATATGCTTCCAGAGTCATGCCCACAGTGACCTGTCTCTTCTGACCAGACCCCACTTGCTAATGGCAAATCAGCTGTAGTGTCCCTATGATCCAGTCCTCTTCCAAAAGCCCCACCACTTAGTGCATGAATCCTTTGGGGGACATTCTTGATATGAAATGTAGCAGTTATAACAGGCAACATTTCTGCTGCATCATAATACCAATCAGCTGGTATTAAAGAGCTTTTGCTGTAGCAAATTATACTATTTATTTATTTATTTATTTTTGGTACTGGGGATTGAACTCGGGCCCTTGTGCTTGCAAGGCAGGCTACCGAACCGCTGAGCTAAATCCCCGGCCCACTTTTTATTTAATTTTGACACAAATATTTATGAAATATTTCCAGTGTCTTTATATTTAAATGCTTCCCACCAATAACTCTGTTACAACAATGACACTTATTTAGATAAATTATTTGTGCCTTAGTTGATAGAATTTTAAATGTAGCAAATGATATCCAAGTATTTATGGTCTGATTTATTTATTGTGTCCATAGGAGCTAGTTATCCATGTAGTTATTGCTCAAAGTATTATAAATAATAATATGTTCATGATATTAATTCTCTATTGTGTATATCTCAAGAATTGCATACATATGTTTGTAATGCTTTATAGAATTCTTCCTTAAGTTACTTAACTCATGCATTTTTTATTTTACTTCTGATAAGTTGTTGGATACATGGCATGTAGTCTGAAACACACATCTGGTATGGTTTCCTTCTATGTAGACTAGATGGTCTTTTAAAGTTGAATAAGTACTGATTTATGTATTGTAACTCCTCTATTTTAGAATCAGAGAATCATTTCTTTGTTTTATGCTTTAACTGTGTGTTCTTTAAGATGCTTTGTAAGCATGATCATGTTTAATCTTCAAAGCAAAATTTTATGTTTGACATTGTTATCTTTATCTCACAGATGAGAAAATTGAGGCTTATGAAGTCTCTCAGTGCTAGCTCGTGAAGAGGCCTACACTTGCCTGTTTGTAGAGGCCAGGTCTTAACCATGTTAGTAAATTGTATTCCAGAATGATTTATCTTTACATAATATTGGCTAGACAGAAGAATTCTATCAGGGTAAATTTAGAACTGTGGAATTCAACTACATAGTGTTATGTAGAATGTCATCATAGAATATAAGGTAAAGACAATAAAATTTGAAGAAATGAAACATAAGAATTCGATCAGCGTAAATTTAGAACTGTGGTGTTCAACTACATAGTGTTATGTAGAATGTCATCGAATATAAGGTAAAGACAATCAAATTTGAAGAAATGAAATAGTTGGTCAAAAGCCTAGCAGAGTATACACATATTTAATACCAAGTGATAGAATTTTAGCCCCCTGTCTAGATAACAGTTTTCATTTGAGCTTTTAATTTTGGATTTGAAAATATGAATGCTATCATTTTAGAGTAAATGAAATACCGTGTTTTGTGTTGTACTTCCTGTATGAAAAGAAAGCAAGCAGTTATTTAGCCAGCCAACCAGTCAACAAAAATTTGTACAATAATAACATTTCTTTTTCTTTCTTTCTTTTTTTAATGCAGTGGGATGCATACTGCTCTTATCTTGGCGTTCTCTTCTGTGGCTTGGATTTATCATGGTAGCATTTGTCTTCAGTTTGTGTGTTAGCTAGAAATCAAGAAAAGACATGAGGAGATTTGTTTACTGCAAGGTGGTTCTGGCCACTTCACTGATGTGGGTTCTTGTCGATGTCTTCCTACTCCTGTACTTCAGTGAATGTAACAAGTGTGATGACAAAAAGGAGCGATCACTGCTACCCGCACTGAGGGGTAAGTACTTAGGAACCCTGTAGAGAAGCTTGACAAAACATGAAACATCAAAATAAGAAAATTTTATGCCTATTGAATTGGATGAGCATTTTGGCAGAACTGTTAATATACATGTAACCATGGAGAATCTACTTTACTTTCTTGACCTTAGGTGTCTGTTAGGAGAAATAAGCAGAGTTAGCTAACTTCTAAGATACTTTCAATCCTAAAAATTCTAATGTTCTGCTATTGCATAAAATGAACAAATTCTTTAAAATTTATTTTTAATACATGTTTGAAGTGCATATTGAATACATTACTTGTTCAGAGGTGGTGCATGTATGTAACATATCTTAATTGTTTTCTTGTTTCCTATGTACATTGGATTGGGCAGCATTTAAAATTTGGCTTGCTAAAAGCCACAAGTATTTAGAAACCAAACACATAACATGAAAGGGAAAAACTACTAAGCTGGAACTAGTGGGGATTTAGCAAACTGATCAGCATATACTACCCATAAAGATTCCCCAAATGACTTAAAAAAGCATTTGTTAAAACAAAACACATTTATGACCGGTTCAGCCTGTGGGCCAGTAGATTGCTAGCATTATGTTAAGAGCAGAAGATAATTTCAAGTATATTGTAAAGTCACTTTAACTCAGTTCTTTTTGTTGAAAAGTCTGGTGTGACTCTGATGGACTTTCCTTTGTATATGATTTGTTTCTTTTCTCTAACTGCTTGTAGTATTTTGTTCTTCTGTTGGGTTTCCAGGATCTTGATTATTATATGTCTAGGTGCAGATTTTTTTTTTTTTTTAATTATGGCTAGTTGGAGTCCTATATGTCTCCTGTATCTGTATGTCAAATTCTTCCCCTCTCTTTGGGAAGTTTGCTGTCATTAATTCTGTGAACAGTGTTTTTTATTTCATTTGTACTTTCTTCTGCTACTTCATGTATTCCTATCAGTCTTATAGTATTCTTCTTTGCATCGTCTAAGAATTGTTGGATTGAATTCTCATAGTTACTTACTGTTTTTAAGAGATCTCTCTTTTCATGGTCACTGAAATCCTATCTTCTCTGTCTGAAATTCTACCTTCTCATTTGTTCATCCTGCTGTGAATGCTTTCTATAAAGTCTTTAATGCCCTTGAAATCTATTTGAATCTGTTTCATGAATTCTGCTTCTTTCCTATGCTGGTCATTCATGGTTTCCATCATGGTCCTGAGCTCATCTTTTAAAAAATCTGTTTCTTTTCTAGAGTCTCTAATCATGTCTTTTATTATTCTCACCATCTCTGTGGTTATCTGGGTAATTATTTGTGTTTTGAATTTTCTAGAGCCTCATTTATTTGTGTTTTTTTTTTTTCTTCTTGTGCTGTCATTTCAGGATGTCCTGATTGTTGATTGTCAGAATTTTCCACCTCATTTTCCCCCTGAGTTTACCTTTGGTGGGGTAGAAATCTGTCTTTTTGTCTTGTTTAAATGCCTTCTTGTTTCTATTTTTGTCATTGCTACTGTCCTTGGCTTAATTCCTGGGTTAATACTTCAATCTTCCAGATATAGCTTGTCTTTAGGTTTTGAGTCTCCAATGTGTCTGAGGCAAACTCATTTTCATTACACCAGGGAGGACAACTGATTACATCAGTCACAACACCTTAGCCCAAGTGATACAATGAGCAACATGATAGCATCAAGCACAGCTTAGAAAATGACAATTTGTGGTAGTTATTAATCTATCACTTTTAACCATGTGAATGAAATAAAAATAGAGGCCTAAATAAATAAAAAAAGCCCAAAATATGTTTATAGTGAATAAACTCTTCTATATAGCAACTTTAGTTTTCAGGATGGGGATTTAGAAGGAGTTGGGGAGGGAGGGATAGATAAGATAGAGAAAGTTTAAAAGTGAGGTCAGAGGATAGAGGAAGATCACACAAACTCTAGGGAGCTGTTTAAGAGAAGAGAAGACAAAACAAAATATTCCCAAGAACAGAACAAATTAATAGTAATAGGGAGGCTAGAGACTTTAATCACTTTCTTTTAAAACTAATGGAAATTGAGAGAAGGAAAAAAAGAAGAAAGGGAAAAGAAAGAAAATAAATTGGAATAGTAACAGAAACAAAAATGGAGAGTAATGGAGAGCAAGGTGGGAGAGATAGAGAAGAAGATAAGCAAAAGAAGATTAAAAAGGAAAAATTGAGAAAAGAAAAGGATAGATAAAAATATTTTAAATGATTAAAGATGAGTGAAAACCATTACTTTGAAAATAAATAGAAACAGATGCTTTCCTTCAGGATATGCCTCTGTTGACTCAATAGACAGTGTGGGCAGGAGTGGGCAAGTCTATACTGATTAGTCTCAGCAAGCCAGCAATTGTCCCTTCACCTTCATGCTGATTTTTGCCTGCAAGGCCCAAGTTGAGATCTCTGACCTCCTGCTGGGTTGAACTCTTTAAGATTCTCCTTCAGATTCCAGCTGTTTTTCCCCTGGAGTTAGACCAGGTTCCGATATGAGTTGCTGGTTCCTCTGACTTACCAACTATGGTGGTGTGGTGTGCTTTTATTGCAGATTTTCTTCACTTTTCCAGTGGGCTTCAATTTTCATCTAGGAACCTCACAGAGGCCTTCTTTCTCTTTTTCCTGGAGAGGTGGTGGGGGGATGAACACTGCTGTATTGGTACCCATGGAGCTGGGCTTCTCTGTGACACTGGGTTGAAGGGGCCAGGCCTATTAGAGGGTTGCAAGTGGCTGCCAGGCTCCTCTGTGTCTAGCGCAGTTATTTTTAAAGGAACCCTTTCAATAATAGCAATTATTTCTAAAAAAATAAAATGGGTACAAATGATTATTCAGATAAAGGCATATAGATTCATTTTCTGCAAATGATTTCAAAATTTTTCTTTATGCTTCCATTTTTGTGGACTTCAAGTTGTATAAATATATTTATATTTCTGAATATAAATGAGTATTTCTAATACACTTAAGGGTGCTCAAATTAGTTTTGTTCTCATTGAACTAATAAGAATTTCATGCTTAATAAATGTTTTCTGCATAAATACAACAAAAGATAAACTGTAATCGAGCTGCAGTTGAAGTGTTTGAAGTGTTTGCATAAGTGAATCTAAATTACCAAATTGAGATTTCATTTATTTAATGAGTTTAATATGCTTTTGATGTCATAGATAACTTTGCAGTTCTTTATTAGTCAGAACAATACAGTGATGGTGAATCTTTTAGAAATTTCAAAGGCACAAACAGCCCACCACAGCAGCGTGCCATAGGTTTGCCACCTCTGCTCTAATATGTGGGAGTGCCTTGATGCTAGCCAATCATGTGAGACTTAGGGAAAACATACGAGAGCATTTCAGAAATCTGATTTTTTGCTAAGAAAGTGTTTTTAACAACTTGTGTTTTCAAAAATATTCTTGCTCTGTTGGAGAAATTCTAAAAATCTTTCTCATTTCAAAATATGTCTAACCCTCTCACTGATAGAAAGTACTTGGGAAGTGATAGATTACAGATCTTTTTAGGTAGTTTGTATGCATTTTTGTGCCTTTATTCTACAATTATTCAGAGAGGATAACTTTATGAGTTCCTTAGTTTTGAAAAATTAGCATAGTTTGACTTGCTGATCTTTAGTTTAAACCCCAGAATAAATCAGCCTTCTCGGCCTCTTTGCTGGAGTCAGGTGAGCTGCTGCTTGGCTGAAAATGGAAATGTGTTTTGATGAATCACAGCAGTTTGGAATGACCACTTTTTCATTTGTTGAACAGAGACATCTAGACTTGTCACAAAAAAATTATAACCTGAGTCAGCAAAACTACGACAGTGTTTTCCATAAAGAATAGTAAAGTTTTGTTGATTTGATTCCATAATACTCAATCTTAAATGTCAAAATGTGAAATTTAACGATGCAAGACTAAAATATTTTTCTTATACTTAATTTGTGAAATTAAACTCTTTTGTTTTTATTTGTGAGACTTGCTGCCGTAGTCCATTTATACTGCTACAGTGACATACTCTAGAGTAGTTGGCTTATTTAAAACAAAAGTATATTTTTCATACTTCTGAATGCTAGGATGTCCAAGATTAAAGCATGGGCAGATGCGCTGTCTGAGAAGGGCCCATTCCTCATAAAAATCTATCTTCTTACTAATTTCATGGGGCTGAGTAGTTGAGGCAACCTCTTTGTGACATTGTTATAAGGATATCAGTCCTATTCATGAGGACTCTACTTTCATGACCTAATCTCCGCTCAAAGCTATACTTCCTGTGCAGGTTAGGACTTCACCACATGAATTTGGGAGAGGCACAGAGTCAGCTCTTTGCACTTCAATTTTGTACATTAATATTATTAGTCTTAAAAAATAGAAAATATACTTGAGGATTTAAATTTTATGTTCTATTACTTCAAAATAGTACTTTAGGAATTTGTGGTATATATTGAAAATTTTATTTACAAGCAGATGATCTTGTAGAAAGTGCACTTGACTGACTTTTTTTTCTAAATCTACAAAAACACTGGTTTTGATTTAAAAAGATTTGATCTTTCTGTTTTGGGTTAGCTGGTTTCTAAGATCCCTTACATTTCTTAATTTTATATAATTTTTCAGTAACAAATATTACCATATACTATGAATTAATTTTTGAGATATTTTCATTCATTTATTTTCAAGTGTTTACTATGTGCTAAGTCTGTGGGACATAAATCACTGAGCTCTCTGAGGTTTGTGCTGTTTGGGATATGCAGGAACTAAGTTCCTACCTGTAATAGAGTTTATTGTCAATAATAAAATATTTCTCTCTCTCTAACTGCATACACACTCATACATCATTTAATGATGGGGCTTGTTTATTCTGGGAAATGTTCTGTTATGCTGTTTTATCATTGTATTAGATATGATAGAGTATGCTTATACAAACTAAGACTCATACGGCCTTATTCGTTGATAAAACCTTATGGGAGCACCATTATATATGACATTCTTGATAGATATTCATTTAAATTATATAAATTCAATAAAAAA